GACAAGAACATGCCCTCAGCAGTGTTTAGCGAGCAGAAATAAAATTTGATTGTGTTTCAGCCATTCAGTGATTTACAAGAGGGAAGGGGTGAGGGTGGTGGGCAATGGGACTGGTTTTCCCTGTGAATATGTAGAGAATTGAAAAACAATAATAAAATGAACCAAAATTTGTATTTTTTTCATTATCATCCTTCACTAGAAAGTCTAAAGAATGCAATCATAAGATACTCTTTCCCACCAGTGAACTTCTTTCACACCCCTCCACCTATGACACATCATTGGAGCCATTGTCCAATTTTTTTTTAACAGCAGCTGTCCTTCTTTATAATACAGGAATATAGGAATGCATTTAGTAATCCAGGAAGTTCTGCCTGCCTGCCTGCCTGCCTGCATTTAGCCCCTTCAATGTAAGGGTAAGGAGAGTCATAGTATGAATAAGACATTTGAGAATCCTACAGAGTCAAGGAAAGAAGTATCTAAGTAAGGACAAAAGAAAAGAAAAAAAGAAGCAAAACTATGTGGGATCAACCCTCTCATAAGAGGATGGGTGTAATGCTTTGAAAATACAGACTACAAAACCTTAATATTATTGAATGAAGGACTGCATGCATCAGAACACGTGGCACATGCCTGAACACAGATGCTAAAGTAGGATGCTTGCAATTCTTGAGGTACATTCCCAACAATTATATCTTTCAGCGGGTAGAGAAAACCGTGAATGTGAGTATGTAGCCGATAATCCCAGACCCTTGCACCAGGCTAACTCGGCTATATACTCTGGCATCAGCACTGCATACATGTGGATCCTGGCACCAAACTTACCAGTCTGTGGACCCCAGCACTACTTCCACTAGACCCTTAAAGACCCTTGTATTAGCCTTGTTTACAGACCTCCAATGCCAGGCCCATTTGCCAGTATAGACTTTGGCACAGGCCCACTTGAAGTGTAGGCCCTGGCACCAGGCCAGCTCAGGTGTTTAACTGACCTAACGCTGAAGGATTTTGTGTACTTAAGCCAATCTATAGAAATTGGAAGAGGTACCTGCTTCTTCAAATGTGTAGGTACCAACACAAAGTTAGAAGGATAATGAAAAATCAGACAAACCTGATATCACCAGGGAAACAAAATAAAGCTCCAATGACTCATCCTAAAAAAAAGGAAATCTATGGACTACTTGACAAAGAATTCAAAATAACTGTTTTAAAGCAACTCAGTGAACTACAAGGGAACACAGACAACTAAACAAAGTCAGGAAAATAATATATGAACACAATGAGAAGCTCAATAAAGAGACAGAAACCATAAAATAGAAGCAGGAGCTGAAGAACATGAATGACTGAGCTGAACCATTCAGTAGAGCGCTTTGACAGCAGTCTATCCAGCAGATGAGAGAATCAGCAAGCACAAAGCCATTCCATTAGAAATTAGCCAGAGGAACAGAAAGAAAAAGTGAAGGAAACTTGTATATAGATAGCCCTTCCCAGTCTTCATCGTGGCCCCGAAAGTTTGTATTTGTAATTCCATGAAAAGTTATTGGAATTCTAGAGAGTTAATTCCAATCTGTCACTTCCAGTGCAACCCATGGCAAGAATAAAGACACTAAAGCATATTTGTAGTTATGGGGAGCCAAGGGGTCCTAAGTCCAGCCATGATAATGGCCATCAGGATCAAAGGCCTTGACCCAGGGCCGAACCCAGGTTTTATTCATTCATGAAGAAGGGAGTGGCTTGAGGGTGAGTGACTGTGAGAACCATGGGAAGTAGGTGAGTGCCATGAGCCGGGCTGCGTAGGAGGCCTGATAGCACCTCTGCCAGTGCAGAGAGAAGGCTATGCAGAAAGAGTAATCTGCATAACACAACTGAGATAGTGTCTAATGTTTTGGGGTCGGTGCTTCAGCTCGGATGTGTAATGTTGGAAGCCCCAGGAAGTCATAGCCTCTATCCCAAGGCTTGATCCCTACTGACAGCATGGAGCACTGGCTCACACATTCCGCCTCATCCCGCTCACTTGTGGGAACAATGGGGGTCCGGGGAAATGTGCTTGTCATTTCCAAAGACTACCATCAGCACCTGGGCTAGATCAGTATGCCTTGCTTAAAGCCAGTTGAAGGGATAAGGAAAGGGTCCTAGCCAGCTCTGTATGTATCAATACATGGAAATAGGGTTAGGCTCGGCCAACATGGAGGCAATTGCTCCTCTTTCAAGGAGAGTAGCCTAGGTGGTTCTCCACATTTGTGGGACTCATAGGATACCACAAGCACACTGTTATACTCATTATGTGAGTTTCAAAAGAAGAGAAAGAGAAATGGGCAGAAAGTTTATTTAAAGAAATAATGGCTAAACACTTCCTAAATATGAGAGGGAAATGGAGATTCAGATTCACGCAGCCAAAATAATCTTCCATAGAGAGGTCTACACTGAGATTCATTATAATTAAACTGTCAAAAGGAAAAGGCAAAAAGAGAATTTTATTGGTTTTTCTCCGGTACCGGGAACCGAACTCACGACCTTGCACTTGCCAGGCAGGTGCTTTTGCTGCTGAGCTAAATCCCCAGCCCAAAAAAGAGAATTTTAAAGGCAAGAGAAAAGTGACTTGTTATGTTCAAGGCAGTTTCCCCACTCCACCAACATTATCAGTGGATTTCTCAGCGGAAACTTTGCAAGCCAGGAAAGAAGGACATTTTCAATGTGTGTGTGTGTGTGTGTGTGTGTGTGTGTGTGTGTGTGTTTGTGTATGTGTAAGTACCAATAAAAACTACAACACCTGGAAAAATTACTTTTTAAAAATGAAAGTAATAGCCAGCCTCAGTAGTGCATGCCTATGATCCCAGATACTCGGGAAGTTCCCAGTGAAGCGGCTTCTGGCCACCCTGTCAAAAGCATACTTCACTGTTTCTCCTAGCTAGCTAGGTTCCCTATATCTTGTTTCTGTCCTGTGCCCATGGAACTTATTCCGATGTAACATAGAATTTATTAATTTACTAAGTGTATCATTCATCTCTCCCACTAGAATGCAAGGCCACAAAAGCAGGCACCCTTGTCTGTTTTATTTGCAGACACAAACTCATAGGAAGGTGCTTGGCATATAGGTAGTGCTCAATACATACCAGTTGACTGAAAAAGGAAACCAGCAGAAACTGGCCTGAGACAGGGTGTGCAGAGCATGAGTTCCTTCTTCATTACTTGCTTGGTGAGTGAGTGATGTCCACTGTCGAAGGGCCACTTGCCTTCAGACACACTCAAGCCTTTCTCCCCTGGCTGTGCTTCTGTGGGCAGCCATGTGGCCAAAGCACAGATGGCTGCAGTGAGTTTTTTTCCTTACGTATGTTTTTATTACGTAAGGAATATTTTTATTAGCATATGTTTGCAACATATAAGGATTACAGCTATTGTGGGGAGTTGGTTCATGTATGTAACACATTTGAATTTTTTTGTCCCTTTGCTTCTTCATCCCACCCTGTGCCCTCCAACTCTTGAGCTCTTCCTGTTTGAAAAAGCTCTATTTCCATTTTTTCTTCAATTCTCTTTTAAAAAATCTTTTCCCACCCCTCCTTCCATCTCTTATTCCCCTTCCCGTTTGAAAAAGATCTTAGTACTTCATATACTGTCTTTTATTTTGCTCTTTGCTTCTCATATAGAAACTTTGTTTCTCACATAAACTCTCATATAAATTAATAAATTCTATGTTAGATGAGGGTAAGCTCCATGTGACAAAGAGCAAAATAAGAGAAATCATGTGATATTTAAACTTTCACATCTGGTTTATTTCCCTTAATATTATGGTCTCGAGGTGCATCTGTTTACCTACAAATAGCTCAAGTTTCTCTTCTTTATGGCAGAGTAGTGTTCCATTGTGTATAAATACCTCATTTTCTTTATCTATTCATCTGTGGATGGATATAGAGGCTGTTTCTGAGATTTAGTTATTATAAATTGTGCTGCTGTAAGCATAGGTGTGCATGTATCCCTATAATATGATGACTTAATCTCTTTTGGGAAGAATCCTAGAAGGGGAATAACTTGGTCAAAGAGTTGTTCTTTTAAATAGAAGTTAATTTATAGGCATTTCTGTGGCCTGTTCCATTGACTTGGTTCTTAGAGCTCTGTCCTACAGACTCGGGGACAAGGCCATCTCGCTGATGCTCTCTAGGTTCAAGCTAGGCCCCAAGCCCTCCGTAACCATTTTACATTCTCCTCATACAAGGCGATTCTGTCATCTGTGTCTTCTTGAGGGATATTTGTGTTCGTGTGTGCATGTGTGCAAGCATGAGGAGAGAGGGAGAGGACCTCTGTTCTCTCCTGTTGTGTCTGGCTATTTTCTCGTGCCCCCATGCAAGCCTGTTTCCCTGAGGGGGAGTTCAGAGGTTGTTCTTCATTTCTGTCTTCATGCACAGAGAGCTTCACCTCAGCCCTGGGAGCTGGTGGGTTTGGAGGCGTTTCCACCACTGCATCCCATTGCCATGCTGTTCTGGGCATGGCACAGAGGTGTCCTGTAAATTGAGGAGGGAGGTGGGACGAGCAGCCCCTGGCTGAGGTCTTTGTCTTTGGGAGAGATCACAAACCCTGGTCATTTCTGCAGGGCAGATGTGGGTGAAGGCAGTCACAGGAAGTCTTTGAAGGGTTCCTTTGCATGTGCTGACCTGGAAGCGTGGGACAGTGGGGCTTGAGTGGGACATAGGACGCGTTGGTCTGCCAATGTGGGATGATAATTCTTCATCTATTCACAGCACTGGAGGGAGATGAGGGGTTTGAGAGCTATGTGTAGGCCTGTGAAGCTGGAAAGTCAGGAATCATGTTTATTTGTGATACAGGGTCTCCTTGAGATGCCTATTAAAAGAAGCAGGTTTCAGCTCTGCTCTCGGGCTGCCTAGCGGGAAGTTCCCATGCTCATAAATGGTACCCATAACTTTCTCCTGCCTTTTATGTGGTCAGAATTCCTGTCCTCTGCCTGATAAAAGGCAGGAGTAACAACAGCTCTCAGCAAGAGCCCTGTTCTTCAGTCCCCTCCACCTTCCCAGGTCTGTCCGGCACAGCAGAGGGATGGCGAGCCGCTGCTACCGCGTCAGCTCCAGCTGTGGGGTCAGGAACTTCAGTTCCTGCTCTGCTGTTGTGCCCAAGCCTGGGACTCACAGCAGTGTTGGTGCCATGGCCTACTGGGGGGGCAGTGCTGGGGGGCCAGGCTACAGGCACCTCGGGAGCTTCGGCAGCCGCAGCATGTGTGTGGTGGGCTCACCTCGGATGGCAGTGAGTTGCAGATGGCCCCTACGCAGTGGTGGCAGCTTTGGCTACCGGGCAGGTGGCCTCTGTGGGCCCAGCCCTCCCTGCATCTCCACTGTGACAGTCAACGAGAGCCTCCTTACACCCCTCAATCTAGAGATCGACCCCAACGCACAGTGTGTCAAGCAGCAAGAGAAGGAGCAGATCAAGTGCCTCAACAACAAGTTTGCTGCCTTCATTGACAAGGTGGGTGTCCTGGATTGCACTGTTCCTGAACAAGGTGGGTCTGTGTACTGTTCTCTGAGGATGTGGCTTAAGAAGGGGCAAGGGACTTGGAACCTGATGATGGGTAGGAGGGTATGGGCGGGAGCACAGCTGTTTTAAGGAGATGCTGCCATCTCTGGCAAGGAGATAGGAGCCAGGACCAAGAGGGGCCAGAGGCTCCTTTTCTTCTCCTTCTTGGTGGAGGCATTGCAGCAAGGCTATGAATCCTCAGGACCTCTACCCAAGGTACCCCCCCCCCCCCCGGATTAAAGGCAGCAAATTGAGAAACGTAGAGGCAGGCCCATGCAGACCACGCTGTACTGCACTTTGCTGACACTGCAGTTTTTGGTTGTAGCGATATGGGTGATTTCCCTCGAGCTAATGGTGTTCCTCTGAGTGCTCACTGTCTTCAAGGGAGATCAGCCACTGAAGTTTCAGGGAGGGAAGATTCATCTTCCAGGGCCAACTGGTGTGATGTCCGGGCCAGGCACTTGTGTAGGAAAGGATGGGCCAGGGCGATGATGAGGGGATCTCTGCTCTCAGACAAACGCCATCCTCAGCATGCTACGGCCTCTCTGCCCTTGTATTGGCACAGTGAAGCTGACCATGGGGCTAGGCAGGTTGTCCATCTGTGGATACACACTCAGAGTCAGGGAGGTTGAAATCCAGCCCATGACTTGCTTGGGGGCTGGATGCCTTAGCAGGAGCTGCATCTGTGCAGTGAGGGCCCCGAACATGCAGACGCAAAGGGATCTGTGCACGCGGCCTTTTGGGTATCACCCAAGGCTGCTGTTCTCTCTGTTGAGAGCAGTTGGCTCTTGGGCTGGGGAAAGAGTCAAAGCACTGCACAAGGCTGGATTGACCACCTCGATGTTGTGGACTGCATGGATGTGGTGGGTTAATCCTGCAAAGCAGCAAGCTGGAGGGCTTTGCTAGGCCCTTGGCCTGCATGGTGAATCCTAAGGCAGGTGCCTTTTGAATAATCAGGATTTTGTTTTTCCTTTTCCATTGGCATGGTCAGTTGAGAGTTCTTTGTATGAGGCTTAAATTTCCAGGAGGTTAGGCTTGCAAATGAATCATCTAGTTTGGGGCTGGCACTGACAACTTAGGTTGGGGCATGGCAGGTCACATCAGCGAAGCCGAATGGAGAGGCAGGCCAGCCTGCTTGTCAACACTAGCTGCAGGCTTTGCACTGTTAGAACTTCTGATTTGTCAAAAAGGTCAGAGATCCAGATTTTTGCCTTAAATCACTTAATTACTAAAGGTTGGTAACTACTCAGGTTTCTATAAAACGTGAGGAGGCCAAATAAGCCTTGGCTGTGGGCCTGAGCAGCTGCCAGTGACGAATTCCTGTGGCCTCAGTACACAGTGGGGCTCAGAGAGAATGAAGTAAAGTGGCCTGGGTGGTGGCAGAGTTAGGGATCTGGAGTCTCCTAATTCCTGGTAGGAGGGAACCACTTCCTGAGCTCCAGTGCCTCAGGATCAGAGTAAGTGAGAGTTGTGATAGGTGTGTATTTTTTAATTGCTGCACACAAGTTGGCAGCTTAAAAGAACACACACCTTCTTGCGAGGCTGACAGCTGTGTGGGGTCAGGGATGCATTTCTTCTTGGAGGATCCCAGAGAAAATCTGTTTCTAGACCATTCAAGCTTTTGGAGAAATTGAATTCTAAGTGGTTAGAGGGCTTGGATTCTTGCTCCTTGGTAGCTGGCTCTCAGGGGTTGTTCTTAGCTTCTAAAGACTTCCTACATTCCTTGGTAAGTGGCCCCTTCTTCCTTCATCTTCAGAGCCAGTAATAGTGGGTAGACTCCTTCTCATGTGTCACATTTCGTTCTGCCTCCATATGAGCATCTTGCTCACTCTTGTACCTTCCTCTTCCACCTTGAAGGGGTCCTGTTGTACCTTTTGCTTACCTGGATAATCCAGGAAAATCTCCCATGTTCAAGTCCATAACCTTAATTTCAGCAGTAAGATCTCTTTGCAAGAACCCTATGCAGTGTAATACAGTCACGGGTACCCAGGGAATAGGGCATGTATATCTTTGAGGAGTCATTGTTTTGCCTATCACATGTAGTCTGCAGGATGAGCTCATATTTCATTCTGTGCAGAGTAAGTGGATGCCTGTAAGTTCTCTGCTTTTTCTGGGAGGTGAGCATGGGTGGAGGGAAGGTATGTGGGGGATGATTATGATCTTGCCTTTCAGACTTTGCCACTGATTTGGCTTCTTTGGGAAGGTCACAGGTGGCTGCAGGGCAGGGGCCATCCCAAGGACAGAGAGGGCTCTGGGGGACCCAGCACCCTCCCTAGACTCCCCACTGAGTGTCTTCCTTCACCTTGACCGGCAGGTGCGCTTCCTGGAGCAGCAGAACAAGCTGCTGGAGACGAAGTGGCAGTTCTACCAGGACCGAGAGTGCTGCCAGGGCAACCTGGAGGGGCTGTTCCAGGGCTACATCCAGACATTGAGGCGGGAGATTGAACAGGTGGAGGGTGATACTGGGAGACTGGACTTGGAGCTTAACCACGTGCAGGAGCCGCTGGAGGGCTACAAGAAGAAGTGAGCAGGATAGGGTAGGGGGGCAATTGTTGGGAGGGGAGTGGGTTTTAGATTAGGTCATACAGCTGTCCTGGAGTCAGGGCTGCAGAAAGTCAGGGTCACCCTGATTCCTATCAGTCGGTTCTATTTTATCAGCATTCTCTGCCTTGTCTCAACTTCTGGCTCTCACAACCCCTTCCTGGAGACCAGGGTAAGAGTTGGAGAGAAGTAGAGTCCCAGGCTGGGAGGGATGGAATACACTCTCTGGGGCACAGACTGACACACAGAGAGAGTGAGAACAAATGAAACAGGAGGACAAGGCCAGGAGGGCTGGAGAGCAGGCCCAGGAGCAGCAGGCCAACCCTGGGTATACAGATAGAGGCCTTGGAAGAGATTTTTTGCAAGTAATCTGCCTGATGCCACTCAAAGTATTTGAGGACCTTATATTTTTCCTTCTTTTACTCTGCAGATAAAACAAGTTTTCCTTATGTAAGGCTCCACAATTTAAACGCAATGTAAATCTTTCATTTTAGCCTGGGCTTAGTCTGGCCAATGTGTAGTCTAAACTCATTGTTCATTTGCACCTTTATATCTTGTAAGATATGGACAGAATGAAAGGTGATTTTGACATTAATCAGTCCTGGGCATTCTAACCTTAGCCTTCTTTGGAGTTCTGGTCTTAGAAGATCAGATTTCGCCAGCCAGAGGGACATGGCAGGGGGTCTTTTCTTCCCTTAGGGTGAAGCGATGCAGATACCCTTTTCAGAGGCCAGGTGTCAAGGTTTACCTCCCACTCTTGGCATATGAGAGCTGGTAATTATAGAATGGAGAGTTTATTACAGTTACAGTTTCCCTGTAATTAAAAAGTTGTAGATATCCCTCTCTGGGAACTCTGCTCTCCTTGCTGGCTGCTTCAGGGAGGAAGTCCTACTGGCTTGGGGAAGGGGCTGAGGCCAGTGGAGAAGAAATGCCCCTGGACCATGGGTTACTTCCAGGAGGAATTCAAGTCCTGGGATATAGGGTCACAGGGAACCGAACTCGAGAGGGGGTGCCTTTAGAGAGCTTCATATTTTGCTCACTTTTAGAGTTGAAAAGCTCTGGGGAACATTTGTCTGCCTTTCACCCAGCCACAAATATTTACCCTATGCCTCATCACAGAGCAGGTGATTTAAGACATGGTATATCATTGGGCTCAGGCTTTGCCGTTCTTTCTGGTTGGGAAACAGAAGTTCAGAGAAGCCAAAGCTCTTCTCCAAAGGCACACAGAAAATAAGCAGAAAGCCAGGGAGTTTGGCAGCCCTGGCCTCTGGCTGGCCAACATTTCTCCTGTCCACTCTCCTAGGTATGAAGAGGAGCTGGCTCTCAGGGCCACAGCTGAGAACGAGTTTGTGCTGCTAAAAAAGGTGAGTGACTCTTGTCACATAGGGAAGAATGAAATCTTGAACACTGCAAACTCTAATACAGGTTGTCCTATCACATTCCCATAAATCCAGTTGGTGGTGGCAAGGACTTAAACCCCTGGCAGATGACAGTGGGCTGGTTTGCCTGCAGAAACCATCTTGGCCACCATGTAGCAACCCAGACTGTGTTGAGGAGTGTTCTGGAGACAAGAACCTCCTGGTGCAGTGCTGTTGGGGGTCTTCTACATAACCGGGTTAGCTGAGATGTGCACTGTGAAATCTGCTCTGCTCTGGCCTGGACATGGCCTCCTCCCACCATCCTAGGTGGAGTGGAGGTGGAGTGGGATGCTGGCTGGTGGTTCTTAGCTTGCTGAAATTTGTGACTGAATTTAGTAGCGATGCTGTCATTCAGTGATATTAGAGAGAATGAAAACATAGAGGGAGAAAAGCTGCTCATGGAATTTTATTTCAAAGTGATGAGTAAAAGTATATGTATGTGTTCTTCAGCAAATAGCCTGCTTGCCAGCCTCTATAACGTAAGTACTGGTGGAATTGAGGGAGGAGCTGGTGACAGATCTGCCAGTAGAGGTCTGACTTGGATCTCAGGCAGAAGTCAGCATGCTCTTGCTCTGTGGACAGCTTGGCTGAGATGAAGCAGCCTGACATTCTGGACTGTGATACCAGGATTTCTGTTCAACAAGATCCTCAGTACTAAGGGGGTGAATGTTTCTCCACCTCCCTTCCCCTGGCAGTCAGTTCTACTGCCTGCTATTCATGCCTCGAGAGGGAATGAGAGGAGCAAATAGCAAAGAGGGCCCTGGAGGGGAAGATGAAGAGTCCTCGTTACACTTATGGGTGGACAGAGGGGTGAGGCGGGCCAGAGGCAGAGAGGTGGCCAGGGGATGACCTCAGGGCTACTGCAAAGTGCAGAGGCTCAGGGTATGGGGAAAGGGAGTGTGCCCATTCCGCACCCTCTCTGGTCTGTCTCCCCTAGGACATAGACAATGCTTATCTGCGCAAGTCAGACCTGGAAGCCAATGTGGAGCTGCTGACAAGGGAGATCGCCTTCCTGCGGTCCCTCTATGAGGAGGTAAGAGGAGGACGAGGGGAGAGGGGGAAGGGGTCTTTTGGGCTGTGGCTTGTCCTGGTTCCTGGGTTCTCTGGAAAGTTGGGCATTGCTTACCCTCTTAGGGCCTGAAGCTCTTTCCTTCTATAATCTTCTCTGGATTCAGACCTCCTTTCCAAATGGGAGCAGGTAAGGCCCTTCTTTTAAGATGATTAGAAAGACTGTGGCTCACCCCTTGTTCACTCAGCAGGACGTGACATGAAGATCTGACAGCTCATTTATTAACTTGAGTAGTGTAAAAACCCAAGTAAGTCACCCAGGAGTTTAACTCTGGCTGTATTCTGGTGGATTATATTGGTACAGATGACTACCGCTGATCTGGTAGTTCAGGCCCTGAGGTGGAATGATCCAGCTGATCTGCATACATCTAAATCTGTTTTTGGTGATGCCGATTCAGGCACTAGTAGAATTCTCCTTCGTATATTGCATAGGCTCATGGCCCAAATTCTAGCCTTTTCCTTTAAAAGTTACACTTTTACAATTTCCCAGTTAAGGTCATTTTCTCATTTCTTCTCTAAGGTTTCTAAGTTGGGGCTGTTTTGAGGATTGATTGCCTGGGAGATGGAATGGGAACAGGGCTTATTGCTGAGGGCTGTGTGTTGTCTTCTACAGGAAATCTTCATCCTTCAGTCACAAATCTCGGAAACCTCAGTGGTGGTGAAGATGGACAACAGCCGCGAGCTCAGCATGGACATGGTTGTGGCCGAGATCAAGGCTCAGTATGATGATATTGCCAGTCGCAGCCGAGCTGAGGCTGAGGGCTGGTACCAGACCAAGGTAAATGGGAGGGCTGGGCTCCTCACCGAACAAGCAGGTGGCTGTACGCCTGGAGCTCCCCTGGGATGTGTGCTCATGCGCCACCCGGAGGGGTTGTGGCTGAGGTCCTGGGCAGAGCAAGGCAAGGAGGTGGGACTATGGCAGACTGTAGGTGACAGCACACTATGTCCTTCATCACACTATGTCCTTTACACCATGACATCACACCCTGCCTACCTGTTGTCTCCCAACCTGCAGTGCCAGGAGATGAAGGCTACGGTGACCCAGCAGAGTGAGAACCTCCGCAAAAGCAAGGATGAGCTCAGTGAGCTGAACCGCATGATCCAGAGGCTGACGGCTGAGGTGGAGAATGCTAAGCAGCAGGTCAGGGACACTAAGACTACTGGGGACCTGTGGTTCTCATCTGGTTCTGCTTTGCTCCTATCTTCAAGGGCTGCCATTATCTTTAGAGTGGCTTTTATTTTCACTGTGCCAGAGAATTTGCCATTTGTCTTCTTCCTGCATTTGCTATTGTCAGATTTTCCAGTGCTTATAAATCTGGTAGATGTAAAACTGGAAGCTAAGCTAATTGTTAACTTTTCATTCTTCTGATTAACTAGTGATATGGAACTTCTCCTCGTACACATACTAGTCATTTGTATTTCCCTTTCCAAGAATTGCCTGTTCACGTCATCTGCCCATTTTCTAGTGGGATTTCTGTCTTTTTGTTGTTGTTTTGGTGTTACTGAGGATTGAACCCAAGGCTTTTGCACTAGCTATATTCTAGATCTTTCTAAATTTTTTAAAATTTTAAGACTGGATCTCACTAAGTTGCCACATTATCCAGGCTGGGCTCAAACTTGCCATCCTCCTGTCTCCCAGAGTGATGGAATTACAGGCATGAGCTGCTATGCCTGATTTCACCATTTTTTTCTTGATTACTGCCTTATGCATTCTATCTAGATTGTAGCCTTTTGTCAGTCATACTATTGCAGTTAATTAATCTTTCAGTCTGTTGCTTGTCTACGTGAAATCTAAGCCTAATATGACCAAGTCTATTGGTTCTTTCCTTAAGGGTTTATGGTTAGAAAGTCTTGAGATAATAGCGATATCATCTCATATTTTTGTCATCTATTACAATTTTACCTCTTACATTTAGGTCTTTACTTCATTTGAGCTTCATTTTTATATATACAGTAAAGAGGGGTCTAATTTAGTTTTTCTATATAGAGTAAGAAAATAGATTATGTCATCTGCTTCTCCCTGCTGATTTGTGGTACTACCTCTAGCATAGTGCTGAGATCACACACACACCTGGCTCATTTCCCATCCTCTCCCTTCTGTGTGGTTGGTGAATGCAAGATGTTTCATAAGTAAGTTGTTGCTAATAATAGCTAAGTTAATGAGACACAGAGTGGGTTACTTTATGGAAGTGCAGTTAGAGGGGATTTGAAGTGCTGTCCATCTTAACCTTGCTGTTGCTCAATTGCGTCCTTCTGTGCCGTCCAATGGGAGCAGCTAGAAGCCAGTGTGCTGGGAGTTTATCTTTCATTGTGCTGAGCTCTGTGGCCAAAGAATGAAACCTCTCTCTCTCTCTCTCTCTCTCTCTCTCTCTCTCTCTCTCTCTGTGTGTGTGTGTGTGTGTGTGTATGGAGGTCTTGGAAAATCTGGGCTTGTCACTGCATACTTGGGAAACCTAGGACAAGTTGCATCTTGTCTGAGTCTCAATTTCTTCATCTGCCTAGTGGGAATAATAATACCTGTTCTGACAAGCCTGCGGAGTAACTTTGAAGGTCAAATAAGATAATATCTTGAAAGTGCCTTGTAAACTAACCCAGATATATGGCAATTGCACTAATTATTATTTGTGCTATCCCGATGTTAACATTTCCTCCCTCTACTGGCTCACTTGTAAAACTCAAGTGAATTTTACAATGAAGTGGTACAAGAATGAAAGAAAAAAGAGCTCCAAATGAACTTTTACTTCTCCATCTAGTTAATTTTCCACAGATGCATTTCATTGAAAAAGCATCAAGTTCACAAATTGATCATTTCAAATGGAGACAAAATTGATGACCAAGACCAATGGAAACCCACCAGCCACCCTCACAGACCAAACCCTTTGCAAACTCCTTCCCTCCTCTTTTCCCCCACAGCGCTGTAAGCTGGAGTCTTCCATAGTTGACGCAGAGCAGCAGGGCGAGGCGGCCCTCAGTGATGCCCGCTGCAAGCTGGCAGGGCTGGAGGAGGCTCTGCAGAAGGCCAAGCAGGACATGGCCTGCCTGCTCAAGGAGTACCAGGAGGTGATGAACTCCAAGCTCGGCCTGGATGTGGAGATCGCCACGTACCACAAACTGCTGGAAGGCGAGGAGAGCCGGTGAGGACAGGGACTCTGGTGTTCCTTTACATCCCTACTCAGGACTGGAAGAGCCCCATGAGCTCTAATCCTCCAGGCAGAGAATGTTCAAAACGGGCTCAGTTCAAAGTGATTGTGGAATTGAACAGCCCCCCACTTTATAGGTAGGGAAGATGAGTGCAAAGAGGGGAATGTGTGTGCCCAATATCATAACCTATTGAGGGTAAGCTAAAAAAGACACCAGTCTGGTGCAGAAGCAGAGGAACTTGGCTTTGATGTCTCCCTTTCTCCCCCTTGCAGGTTGTGTGAAGGCATGGGCTCAGTCAACATCTGTAAGTTGAGCATATGTGGGCATGGCTCTCTTGGGTATCATCTTGGGTCTGAACATCAGGTTACATCAAACTGGGGACCAAACCTCTGTCTATGGGCACTGGGTGAAGGAGACCAGAGGTGGAGGCTCTGGGAAATGAACAAATTGGTGACCCGCAATATTTGGTACCTATGTAGATCCACCTGGAGTATTCTTGAAGCCCAAGTTAATTAATGTGGTAAATTCTGGCTCCCTAACCGGTTCTACAAAACAGGCTAAGCCTTTCTGCTACACACAGAATACTCCTCACAAGGCCCCATGTTTTAACAAGAAATGCTAAATTTATATTCTGATCACTCAGGGCCTCTAGTCAGCTAGCAACCCCTGATCTTTAGAATTCTACTGTATACACAGCCCCGGGCAGGTGTCTGCTTCTGATCAACCATTTCCCTCAGCTTCCCAGCAACCATATTTATAGATGATTCCTTTAGTGTGAACCACCCATTTCTGCCCAAATATTGCATGAAAACACATCTCAACAGTAGTCTAGTCCAAGTAGAGTGAAGTGTTGAATTTGCTGACCATGTTCCTTTAAGAAGCAGATGACAATGAATTTAGGTTTGTCTGTAGTTTTACAAGTCACATGTTGTTGGTCCCTCAAAATATGAAAAGAATGAATCATTTGTATAGGAAGACCCTGTGTTATACCATGTCTGGGATGGGAGAGACTTCTGACCTGGTATCTCTTTCCACAGGTGTGAGCCGTTCACAGGGTGGCGTGATCAGCGGGGATCTTGGTTCCAGTGTCTCACGGAGCGTGGGGGGTGTGGCTAGCAGCAGTGTCCTGTGTTCCTCCTCTGTCATGGGGCCCTGCTCCAGTGCAAGGTCTGTGCGGTTTGCATAGATGGGCAGGACTCTGGACCTTGTGGGTCTGCTGGGGGCTGTGGAGGGGTATGAGGGGAAAGCTTTTCTCTTGTGCTCCCAGTGCCAGTTTATTCATTGGTCATAGTAGTAGCTCTCCAGTTTCCTTCTTACTGGAGTTATGTTTTACTCTTTGAATGTAAATCCTGGGTTTGGCAAGGAGCTGGGTAGAGGGATGTGCAGCATGTGGGTGTGTCTCTGGGCCTTGCTCTTGGATGTGAGGAGCTGTGGATGCTGCATTGAGGGGACAACAGGGACAGAAGGGCTGAGGGAAGCCCTTCACTTGATCTGAGAGGTTGGATATTCCTGGAGTCCCCAAACTATTTTATATGACAGAATGAAAAGACTGGCTGAGGCTAATGGGATGAGTCCATTCTATTGGTTGCTTGGAATTGTACAGAATTCCCGTGATTCCCACAGGGCGTCTCCTTTCTTTTGGTGTGCTTGATTAAATATTAATGGCAAAATTTTCTCCTACTGAGTTCCTTCATTGCTCTTCTCACACACCCAGAGCCCTACTTGTTTTGGTGCTTGTCAGAGTGTGGCCCATGGATGAGCACCTGCATCCGGATCCCTTGGGGCTACTTGTCCAATATGCAGATCCTGGGCTCGATCTAGAACATGAATCAACAGCTCTAGGGATGAGCCCAGGAATCTGCATGGTAGTAAGCTTCTGGGAAATTGCTGTACAAGCCACTGGTTCCTGAGGGCAGGAGGAAGAGGAAGGTCAAGTAATTTTAGATATGGAGGTGATTCTCCCCCTGATTCTCACAGGATCATGTTAGTTAGTCCTTTTGCATCCTTCCTGTAATTCTTCTGAAGGGTCAGAGCCATAGCCTGATCCCTACACATACCCCTGTGGGGTACAGCAAAGGCCAAAAAGAGGAGAAGAAGGGAACCGGCATTCATTAAACACCTGCTAAGTGTTCAGCAAGTACTATACACATTTCATTCATTTTTGACAGCAGTAGCATTATTACCTCTCTTTACAAACTAGAAAATTAAGGCTGAGAGAAGTGACTTTACTAAGACCATAAAGCTCGTCCAGAATTCAAACTCAGATCCAGGTTTACAAGCCTTCACTCTACATTTTTTTTTTTTTGTTGTTGTTTTTTGTTTTTCTCCGGTACTGGGAACTGAACTCACGATCTTGCACTTGCCAGGCAGGCGCTTTTGCCGCTGAGCTAAATCCCCAGCCCCTACTCTACATTTCTTGATCGCTCCTTTAAGCCTAATACTCTGGTTCCTCAGATGCTACTGGATGAGGGGTTCTGCCTGGTCCTACTTTACTAGTTGCCAACATTTCAGAAATAAGAGATGGGAGGTGATAGAGAGACCTCCTGGGAACATTTGTAGAAGCATCTCTCCATAACCTGTGCTCTCCAACAGTCGTGGACAATCATACGATAGGGTAGTTAAGAACAGCTTCTTCTGTAAGGACCGAGACTTGAAACTCAGACTTCTGGACAGAGACTGTGCCCTGGTGAAGTCTACATCTCGCCCGTTCCTGGACTGGTGGTCCTCGGGAAGTTCCACCTGGGAAGCCTGCCCAGAGTCGCCTTTGGTGCTGGGTGGCCCACCCTGGAAGTGATGAGACGGAGACCAGGCTTCTGGGTGGACAGTTTTCTTTCCCTTTTGTTCTGGAAGAACGCTACTTCTCATACCTGATTTTATTTGGATCATTTTAGAAATGAAATTTTAAGAAAGACCTGATCAGGCATAAGACAATTTTACCATAAGAATATATATATTTGATTTCAAGACAAAGAGAAGCCATTGAACAGTTCTCCCTGGCAAAATGCCGTCTTTCTGACACCTTCATATTGTGTCCACAGGGGCCTCCTTGGTCAGGCTATTTGTTATAGGGAAGTCCACGTTTCCCCCCAAAGGTTCAAATTAAGTCTTCTTAGATAAACTGACAACACAGATTAACAGGAGAAAAAGCATAAAATTTATTAATGTGCAAATGTCCATGGGAGCCACACACAAGATATGAGACTCAAAGAAATGACCAGATGCTAACTAGCATTTTGAGCTGCAGAAAGACAGAGGGGATTGAAATTTCTGGAGGGAGGTGGCAACAGGTCGTGGAAGGGTGAAGGGAAGAGATGTACTTCAAACGAGTTGTCTTACTAGGTGATGAAACGTCCCAGTAATCTTCCAGAGTGGTTTTCAGAAGAATAAATGAAAAGCCTGTTTGGGTGTTAGTGACCTTTAGTGTTTTGCTTCTTTGGTAGTTAATATTTCCTGGTTATTCAATGAGATTCCTAGGGAAGGAAGGAGGGTTTAAAATAATTACATTTCTTCCTTTTTTTTAAAAAGAAGTTTCTTCAGCCAGATAAAGGAGTCAAGGAAGACCAAGTTGCAGCTTGGGTGAAGGAGAAGGTCAGAGACATTGATTCTAAGACTTTTTCCAGCTCAGCATGTCAAAGTGCCATCTTTTAGAGTATAGTTTTCTGTGCTCCGGAACAATGCCTTGATTGAGAAGATTGAGCACATATTTCTTAGCTGTGCAGTGCTCCCCTGGGCTTCTGCCTCCCGCACTAAGAGGCTGTCACAGGGGCCTGCATCCTGGACACATCGTGGTCTGAATCCCACCAAGTTTGAGCATGGGTAAAATCAGGTAAGAAGGGCCACCAGAGTAACTCCTCTGGGGAGGAAAAGGAGCCCCATAGAGCTCTTGCTGCCCTGCAGTTGGGGAATATGAACTAGGGAGGGTCTGTGTTTCCTTTGTAACAATGGTGGTGATGGTGGTGATACTGGTGGTGCTGTTGGTGGTGGTCGTGTTAGTGGTGTTAGTGATGATGTTGGTGTTGATGGGGGTGATGATGGTGATTTTGGTGGTGATGTTGTTGTTGGTGTTAGTGGTGTTAGTGGTGATGCTGGTGTTGATGGGGTGATGATGGTGATTTTGGTGGTGATGTTGTTGGTGTTAGTGCTGATGGTGGTGGTTGTGATGGTAGTGATGGCAGTGGCAATTGCAGTGGTAGTGGCACTAGTGATGATGGCGATGATGGTGGTGGTGATAGTGGTGGATGGTGTGGATTTACCAGTGTGTGCTTTTGATGTTTTCTTAATTTTTTAGTGCCTAAGTGGAGCCTCTATGTGTTGCTCCTATGCTGCTCCATGCCCTGACTGTTCACCTTTCACCACTCCTGCTCAGCAGCAACAAAGGAATTATGGTGGGCACATGGGGGTGTCCCTTGGTTTAAATGGAGGCAAGAAAACTGCATGAAGCAGTGTCAACTAATCTTTTCCCCACTGCTCTTTCTTCCAGGCAAGTCCCCGCACCCAAGGACAGCAGAACTCAGGTCCTAGTTGCTCCAGTGTTCAACAAACAAAACACTTGGGACAGCTGCCCTGTAACATTCATGTTCCCAGAGAGAAGCAGTGGTGTGAATAAACTAGATAAAGGGTAATTCCCAGGTAGTTATTTCCATGTCTGCGTGAAACACACTTTCTAGTTTTCTTGATAATTAGTGAATTTGTGTTTCTTACTATGCTTGGCTCAGGAGAGTAATTACACAAAGTTCTATTTCCTGAGATTCCAGAGACTGAAGCAGGAAACAATCAAAGATACCAGGCCCAGAAGAAAGAAATGTCTTGGGAGTGTTTGTGAGGAAGATTGAAACAGGGGCTTGGTGGGAGTCTTAATGGCTTAGAGGGAAAAGAGAAGACAGGCAAGCCCAAGCTCGTCTATTGTTTAGGAAGCACTAAACTCCACACTTTTCCCTTTAGTACTGGGGATTGAACCAGGGCCTTTGCACTGAGCTACATTCCCACCCTTTTTTATTTGGAGGCAGGGTCTCACTAAGTCTCCTGCACAGGCTGGGCTTGAAATTTGGAACTATTGATCCTCCTCCCTCAACCTCCTAGAGTGCTCCGATTACAGGCATGCACACTGCACCTAGGTCATACTTTTGAGTTGTTTGGAAAATGTTTTGGGAAAGCATCAGTTACTTAGATAAGAATTGCGTAGACAGGTCTGATTGCTCTGATGGGGGTGCTAGATGGATTTGTGATGTTTCACAGGAAAGCGAGCCTAGGAAAGAGGCTGGAACTCGCTTACAGACCTTCTTTTTGGTTTGGGCCATTTGCTCTTCTGATTTTTCCTTGATCTTGCAATTTCTGATCACTTGACCTTGTTAAAATTATTTTTCTCATAAAATTTCAACTCTTGCCGGGGATATGGCTCAGCATCACAGCACCTGCCTGGCAAGTGCAAGGTCCTGAGTTTGACAGTTTCGGTACAAAAATGAAACAAAACAAAACAAAACAAAAAAACCAAACTTCAAAGCTTCAGTTACTCAGACTATCCTTGTTGCCTTCTTCAGGGAACAGAGCTTTTATCAGGAGAGGGCTGAGGGAGCCCAGAGTGCTTTGAATCAGAAGAGCTGGCTCTGGATCTTTGCTGTTGGTTGTAAAGTGGGGCTGGGGAGAGGCGCCTGTACGTGGAAGCCAAAGGCACCCCTGGCTGGCCAAACTGCTTGATGATATTTGTACACTAAGCATAGAAACACATTAAAAAGCTTGATATCTTCCAGATCTTGGTGTCTTATTTTTGGGTATTGAATTTGGCATTTTAGTTTTTCTTGGCCCTGATCTGTGGTGATATCAAGTTGTTTTCCTCCAGCATGACTCACTCTAGCAACCCAGAATGAAGGAGGTGGCAGAGCTGCAAAGCTCAGCCTTCTCATCTCAGAGACCCCCCTCCCCAAAGCATAGAGCCCATATCTTGTCTAGGAGCTCACTGAGACCTGGCAGCCTTGTAAGCACTGGCCTCAGATCTCCATCTTTTGACTTGTTAGCCCCTGACATTTAGCCTTTCCTGTGGATGAATGATGCACCCAAGGTTGAATTTTGATCCATTGTGATCATATGCAGGTCTCCTGGGCCCAGAGAGCTAGGAGAAAGGAGGGGGCAGGCAGGAGACTCAGAGGAGGCCTGTCTGGTGTCACTTGCGAACCTCAAATGGAGTGGTAGCCTGAGCACTTAGGAGAAGCCAACAGTCTAGAGAGGTCATAACATTTTGGGTCTGAAATGAGGTTGCAGCCAAATGCCTAGGGCTTTAACTTCTCTGGGAAAGAGGCTGGGTGATAGGGAGGAAGTTAGAGCAGAGGTAGTGCCCAGGTAGAGGCACTCTCCAGGTAGAGGCTCTCTGGGTAGAGCCCAGAGGTAGTGTAAGACACAGGTTAGTGGACAGACATTGCCTGACAGTAATGACATCTCATTTTTCCCCCTAATGGAGAAATAGAACTGAGTCCAAGAGGGCTGGATGTCTATAGCTCCTGTCCTGCTAGCTGCCTCAGTTAATTCATCCTAGGCCCGGCATGTCTTAGGGCTCCTTCCTGGGGCCTAATAGAGGCTCAGAGCCAGGAGCTTCCAGCTTGATCCAGGCTTCAGACATACCCACTGACATCACTGGCCCAGACCCACAGAGCAGGACCAGATATTTTCAGGATCCTAG